GGCTCCAGAATCTGACATTTATCCCACACCCGTGCCACCGTTTTCAGCCACAACGTTCAATTATTCCTCAGCCGAGAAACCTCTCTTACACCTCACAAGAAGCCATCATCAACAGCCTCGCCCCTAGCACTCCCTCAGCCTACTTGACTGGCTGGAATCGCTTTAAGGTATTTCACGCCACATATCTGCTGCCATCACCCACGCACATTCCATCCAAAACATCCACTCCTCTATAATCCAGACCTACTTAGCAGGCATCAATTTCTTCTTCAGAATAGTCACCGCCTTCCCATGTCCGTCTCTCTCTCACTCCCACGTCACCATGTTAATCAAAGGCTTGAGGAAACAAGAACCCACTCTTGCCACTAGATGCTTACCTCTCACTTCAGACCTCCTCAGTCGCTGCATCCATTCTCTCTGGATACATTTCTGGATGCAATCGACTCGACTCTAGAATCCATGTTTTTTCTGGCTGTCTTCGGCTTCCTGAGGTGTTCAGAATTCGCCCCTACGTCATCCGCCTATAATCCTTCCCGTCATCCCAGTCTGTCAGACATCACCATTCACACCTCCAGCTCTCTCATTTTCCCACTCCGAAGAAGTAAAACAGATCAGCTAGGAGTTTCCTTCCCCATCTACATCTTCCGCCTCAGCTCCTATCTCAGCCCCTACGAGCCACTATCCGAATACATGCGCTCCAGGTACGCCGCCAAGGCATCACCACGACACCCACTTTTCCTCACCGAAACAGGAAAAATGGGCAATCAATTCTGGTTCCAGAAACACCTGAACAGAATCCTCTGCATTTCAGGCATATCACCCAAACATTATTCAAGCCATTCATTACGCATTGGCGCCGTTTCCACAGCGGCCAGATAAGGCATCTCCGACCAAACCATTGAGGTCCTCAGCCGTTTGTCATCCCAGGCCTACCGTTCATACAGTCACAACAATTTTTTTATTATAATGAAGTCAATATGCAATTTGAAGTTGAGTTCAGGGCCAATCCAACTAAGTACCTAGTACTAAGAGTAACTTGCTCAGCACTGATTAGGAATGACGTGTTCTGAAACTAGATTTACAGCAACAAATAAGGCCACCCCACCTCCTCTATTGGAACTATCAGCACTATGCAGAACATAATTATCGATTTCCACTTCCTTGTCTGTAATTTTACCATGTAACCATGTTTCAGAAATCTCCTGATATCAAGGTGAATAATCTTTAACCCTTAACCCTAAACCTAATTCAGTGTTTAAAATATTTAAACTAGAGATTGAAATATGTAAATAAGCCAAGTTGGTGAGTGAAAGGAACTCTACATCTGTAGGAAATTCAGGCTTATGAGATCTCTTTCCATATATAAATGTGTTAACCCCATTACAAATAGGGGGATTAATAAGAATTAAAATGAAAATAGGGAAAAAAGTACAAAATAAATGGATGTAAGGCTTCACAGCGCTTATAGGATCACTAACAACTACGGATGCAGCTAACGATGATTTTAGTATTCGAAGCTTCGATAGATTATTTAAATCATTCATTAATGCGTGGGTACACGTGGTCACATTTTCAGCTGAGGACTGCAGCTTACTTTGGCTTCAACTCAACAATCATTCATGATTTCAGTTAGATGCTAAAGTTGCTGTTACTGTTACCATGTCTGCGGTCCGCTGGCAGAACACCAGCTGCTTTCTGATCAGGTGTCGTCGTGCAGTTGCCGAGGCGACATAAGTTTGGTTTTACGGTGGAAGGACGGTAACATTACAGAGTTGTTGTTTACTTTAGCTTGAAATAATCCCATACTTTGTTCCATGGTATATCTAATGCTTTGGAAACTTTTTAGTACCTGTCTCCTGACTTATGTCTTTCAACAATGAGATCTCTCTGATGCTTTGAAAGCTCTCTGCGGACCATGGCTTTTGCTCAGAGATGCAACTAAGAAACTATCAGGAAAATCCTACTAGAACAGCTGAGCTTTATTTGCGATTAATCAGAGTCACTTTAAATGATGGCAGGTGTGTAATGACTTCTAGATAACCTGAGTTTGAATGTGATTGGTTAATTATGAACACAGCCACATCCCCAGTTATAAGACGTCCCTCCAAAATTGATGAAAAGACGAAAAGAAAAGTGGTCAGGGAGGCTTCCAAGAGGCCTACAGCAACATTAAAGGAACTGCAGGAATTTCTGGCAAGTACTGGCTGTGTGGTACATGTGACAACTATCTCCCGTATTCTTCATATGAACGGGCTATGGGGTAGGGTGGCAAGACGGAAGCATTTTCTCACAAAGAAAAACATCCAAGCACGGCTGAAGTTTGCAAAAACAAAGTGTCCCAAAAGCATGTGGGAAAATGTGTTATGGTCTGATGAAACCAAGGTAGAACTTTTTGGCCATAATTCCAAAAGGTATGTTTGGCGCAAAAACAACACTGCACATCACCCAAGGAACAGCATACCCACAGTGAAGCATGGTGGTGGCAGCATCATGCTTTGGGGCTGTTTTTCCTCAGCTGGAACCGGGGCCTTAGTAAGGGTGGAAGGAATTATGAACAGTTCCAAATACCAGGCAGTTTTGGCACAAAACCTTCAGGCGTCGGTTAGAAAGCTGAAGATGAAGAGGAAGCTCACCTTTCAGCACGACAACGACCCAAAGCACACATCCAAATCCACAAAAGCACGGCTTCACCAGAAGAAGATTAATGTTCTGGAACGGCCCAGCCAGAGCCCAGACCTGAATCCAACTGAACATCTGTGGGGTGATCTGAAGAGGGCTGTGCACAGGCGATGTCCATTCTGACAGATTTGGAGTGCTTTTGCAAAGAAGAGTGGGCAAATATTGCCACGTCAAGATGTGCCATGCTAATAGACTCTTACCAAAAAAGACTGATCTCCTGTAGATCAACATCAACATCATAACATCAATAATAATTAAATAATTTTAATTCAGTTAGAAACTCCTGGACTTTAATAGCTCCTGTGTTTCAGCAGTTTTCTGCTCATGTTCAAAGTTCTGCACATTCAGAATCTAACTGGGTTCTCTGACATTTCCAGAATAAAGAATATTTTGAGAGGTCAAACAGGATAAATTATCATAGACTTTGCGATCAATCCGCACCGTGTGGAAGGGATCCATACCGTGGATTCTGCAACCCGCTGCACCACTACTGTCCATGGTAGTGTGGGGATTTAGTTCTTGCATATTTTGTTGTGCAGGATCACAGCCCGTGTGTCTGCATGAGGAAAGGTCAAGATAGAGTAAAAATGGACTATCTATTGCATCAGACTAGGCAACTTGATGAGTTTATTTTGTTAAGTAGCCCATTAAAATATTCCTGCAAATGCAGTGAAGAGGTTCAAGTTGTAAATTCGCTGAAATGTGAACAAAAAAAAAAAAGCACTTCAATGCTCATTTCTAATGACTTTTGGAACAGATATTACTTATAAGTGTGGCTGAAAGAGGGTATTTGCAGTGACAGAAGATGGAGAACAGACATTGGAGGGGAGATTATGAAGACTCGGATTCACAGTCAGAGAGGCCGAGTGTATATAACTAGATGAAAACCAACTACATAAACCGTGGAACAGCTGCTGGTTAATGTAGCCAAGGCACAAATGTATTCAGTTCTCCTAATGTTCCACCTGTCTGTGATATTCCCTGTGTCTCACTCGGCCCTGACTCTCCCTGTTCTGTGGTCACTTCATCTCACATCTAGGAAAGCAACAAATGTTTGTGACACAGAACTGTCTTCAATCCAAACTCTGATAACATGCCATTAACCGAACAAAGTCATTTTACTACATGGGTTTTAAAATAAACTATACATTATGTCTAGTATCTATCCATACAACTTACAAGCTCGTCCTCCTCAGTTTGTTCTGCTCCTGCGACCTCTGTTCTTTTAAAATACTGTCGGTTGTTCATCTCTGTGTAAACATTTTGACCACTGTTACTTTTAAATTGTTTATGGACACATATGTACACATACAAGACTTTTTAAGGTCAAGGATGGTCAGAGACAGAGACAAAAAAGTGGCCCAGGAGTTTGTTCCTGGTCAGCCTGGTGAGAATTACTGGTGCAGCTGCCCAGTGGCGGGTAGAGTACTCAAAATCTTTACTCAAGAAAAAATACAATTACTCCCATAAAAAGGAAAAGAAAAAAGGACAAATGTACTCAAGTAAAAGTATAATATTATTAATAATATATTCCGTCTGCTGTTCTTAAGGTTATTTCTAGGGAATGCAGTTTGCTTTGCTTGTTCATTATCTGTAATTTAGTTATTTCTGTTTAATAATTATTTTCCTCACTTATCTTACTTAATATCACTTTTGCTGCCCAGCCACTGTTGTTGCCTGTATCTTATTATGGACATGTAGCCAACCAAACCACTTCCTTTGCAGTAGCACAGACTGCCAAAACAGAGAGTCTGGTAAGCTCAGCATTCTAATGTTGTTACACCAACTATGCTATCTATACCTTAGCTAACAGTTTAGTATTATTTTCTGTGTATGTAGCACATGAAACTTCAAGAGCTAAAACGCGTTCATCCTGAAGGTTGGTGTTGGTCTCTAATCAAGAGATTTTCTGAGCGAGGTCCGTCACTGTACTTTGAATGTGATCCAGCTTTACTTCCAGTGTTGAGATGGAAGCTTTAAAGTCAGCCGTAAGTGCTTTACGGTGTTCATCGATGGTTGCCATGTTAAGACCGTTATTGTCTTCTTCAGAGGCGGCAGACAGCATTTTGTTCCTTCCTGCCTTGTCTGGATGACTTTGCTGCCATGATTGTTCAGAATAATGTTGACAGTGAGTTAGACAGAAGATGGCGGGGTTCAGAGTAAACCATTACAAAGTGACGGGAGCGAGACTCGGTGTGCGTGGTGCACCCCACTGCCGCTACAAATATCTTTAGACTTGGGGTGAGTGGTGCAATTATTTTAATGAAAAGTCAAAGGTACCAATATTTTCTGCCAAGTCTGTGTAGATGTGTTAGAGTTACCTGCTCTCACTGAAGAGTACACAACATCTGGATCAGACAGCTGACCTGAAACACAATACGAGGTAATGTTACCGGGTGTGTGTGTGTGTGTGTGTGTGTGTGTGTGTGTGTGTGTGTGTGCGCGTGCGTGCGTGTGCGCGCGTGTAGTCATGGTTACCAGTCCTTGTTCCAGCTGTCCTCTGAGACCTGATGACAACGTGACCATATGTGACCTCAGAAGGACCTGAGACAGAGAAAAACAACAGAGTTCATTTTCCACAAACCTGGATGAAACAAACAATAAAGACAAAACAAACAAATAAATTAAGACTCTTCCTTTACAGGTCAGAGCCGTTTCAGCACAGAAGTTTCAGCTCTTCAACAGGGAGCTACAGCTCTGCAGTGAAGGGATGTGTTTATATTAGGACCCTGGATCACATTCACTACCCGCTGTTTACACAGAAATCTGGTTAAGCCGCCCACACGTAGGATAATCGGGCCTATCGTGGGTCCGAATCGCCCTCCAAAACAATCGCGTGGCCGTTCCCAACTGTCAATAAACCTCATTCTGATTCTGATCAGTATCTGAAACAACTGCAGCCACATGCACATCAAATAAAATACTTCTTTTGTTATTTCTTTAGTGACTCGCTACTCAAGTTACCTTTCAGTAAATACATTTGTACTTTAACTCGAATTGTAAGGACTTTGGTTTTGTGCTTGTGTGTTTCCTGTGTTTAGTCTGTCATGGATGTGGTTTTTGTGTTTCTCTGTAGGCTTGTTTATCCTTTTGTTCATGTTTAGTTCTCTTAGTAACTGTCTTGTCTTGTATCTTACTTTTAGTCCTGTATTTAGTTTTTTTGTCTTAGTTCATGTCTTTGTCTTTAGTGCTTGGTTCTGACTTTTAGTTCTTTTGTTCAGTTTCCTTCATCCTGGTCCGCTGTCATTTGTTCTGGTCCGTGTCCTGTTTCTACTTTCTAGTCTTGGTATGTCGTGGTGTTTGTCTTGCATCAACTTACAGTTTGTCTGTGTGCTGGTCTCTTCACTCCTTCTGTCTGTGTTTAGCTTTGCTTCCTGTTTTATTCTGAAGTTGTGTGTGTTTAGCTTTGCTTCCTGTTTTATTCTGAAGTTGTGTGTGTTTAGCTTTGCTTCCTGTTTTATTCTGAAGTTGTGTGTGTTTAGCTTTGCTTCCTGTTCTGTTCTCCTTGATGTGATCCACCTGTTTGCAGCCCGCTTGTTTGCCTCAGTATTTATTGCCTGTGTTTCTGTCTCGGCTCGTCGGATTATTGTGGTTTGTTGCATGTAGCTTGTGAATCCTCTCTGTCTCGTGTTCCTGTCTGCCTGGAGTGTGTTGTTTTTTGATAATAAATCATTGGATCTGCTCAGCTATGATGTTCTGCGTTTGGGTCCTCAACCAGCTCCCACACACTGCAAAACATAACACACCTTCACTTCTACTTGTTACTTTTTAAGTAAAAGTTTTGTGAAACTTTTGTGAGTACATTTGTTGGCTATTCTGCACACAATGTGTGTATTTGTGAATAGCTGCAGAGAGTGTATGTGTGTGTGTGTGAGTGTGAGTACCTGCAGTGTGTGTGTGTGTGTGTGTGTGTGTGTGTACCTGCTGTGTGTGTGTGTGTGTGTGTGAGTACCTGCTGTGTGTGTGTGTGTGTGTGAGTACCTGCAGTGTGTGTGTGTGTGTGTGTGTGAGTACCTGCAGTGTGTGTGTGTGTGTGTGTGTGAGTACCTGCTGTGTGTGTGTGTGAGTACCTGCAGTGTGTGTGTGTGTGTGTGAGTATCCCTGCTGTGTGTGTGTGTGTGTGTGAGTATCCCTGCTGTGTGTGTGTGTGTGTGTGTACCTGCTGTGTGTGTGTGTGTGTGTGTACCTGCTGTGTGTGTGTGTGTGTGTGTGTACCTGCTGTGTGTGTGTGTGTGTGTGTGTGTGTGTGTGTGTGTGTGTGTGTGTGTGAGTACCTGCTGTGTGTGTGTGTGTGTGTACCTGCTGTGTGTGTGTGTGTACCTGCTGTGTGTGTGTGTGTGTGTACCTGCAGTGTGTGTGTGTGAGTATCCCTGCTGTGTGTGTGTGTGTGTGTGTACCTGCTGTGTGTGTGTGTGTGTGTGAGTACCTGCTGTGTGTGTGTGTGTGAGTACCTGCAGTGTGTGTGTGTGTGAGTACCTGCAGTGTGTGTGTGTGTGTGTGAGTATCCCTGCTGTGTGTGTGTGTGTGTGTACCTGCTGTGTGTGTGTGTGTGTGTACCTGCTGTGTGTGTGTGTGTGTGTGTGTGTGTGTGTGTGTGTGAGTACCTGCTGTGTGTGTGTGTGTGTGTACCTGCTGTGTGTGTGTGTGTACCTGCTGTGTGTGTGTGTACCTGCTGTGTGTGTGTACCTGCTGTGTGTGCGTGTGTGTGTGTGTATGTGTGTACCTGCAGTGTGTGTGTGTGTGTGTGTGAGTACCTGCAGTTTGTGTGTGTGTGTGTGAGTGTACCTGCAGTGTGTGTGTGTGTGAGTATCCCTGCTGTGTGTGTGTGTGTACCTGCAGTGTGTGTGTGTGTGTGAGTATCCCTGCTGTGTGTGTGTGTGTGAGTATCCCTGCTGTGTGTGTGTGTGTACCTGCAGTGTGTGTGTGTGTACCTGCGGTGTGTGTGTGTGTGTCCCTGCTGTGTGTGTGTGTGTGTCCCTGCTGTGTGTGTGTGTGTGTACCTGCAGTGTGTGTGTGTGTGTACCTGCGGTGTGTGTGTGTGTACCTGCTGTGTGTGTGTGAGTATCCCTGCTGTGTGTGTGTGTGTGTGTGTGTGTGTGTGTGTACCTGCTGTGTGTGTGTGTGTGTGTGTGTGTGTGTACCTGCTGTGTGTGTGTGTGTGTGTGTGTGTGTATCTGCAGTGTGTGTTTGTGTGTACCTGCAGTGTGTGTGTGTGTGTACCTGCGGTGTGTGTGTGTGTACCTGCTGTGTGTGTGTGTGTACCTGCAGTGTGTGTGTGTGTGTGAGTACCTGCAGTGTGTGTGTGTGTGAGTACATGCAGTTTGTGTGTGTGTGTGAGTATCCCTGCTGTGTGTGTGTGTGTGTGTGTGTGTGTGTGTGTGTGTGTGTGTACCTGCTGTGTGTGTGTGTGTGTGTGTGTGTGTACCTGCAGTGTGTGTCCTCACACCAGAGTAGAGAGTATCTGGATCTGCAGAACGTTTCTCTGGAAGATAATAACACACAGATACAGTATAGTGACTCTGACTGAAACAAACACCACAGCTGCTAAACACACACACACACACACACACAGACACGCACACACACACACACACACACCTACCTCTCCTATTGGTTTTCTGTCTCACGGTGACATCAGCATAGGTCACTTCTGCAGGAGCAGATGAAGTTTTTCTTCCTGAGGAGAGAAAGTCTGTTTGTGGTGAAGAGTCTGATACAGAAATATGTCAGAGAGCTTTACAGAGACGCAGCCAGGTGAGCAACAGAAACACCTGCCAGTCTGACACCATTAGCAGTCTGACACCATTAGCAGTCTGACCCTTTCACAACCTGTACAAACACTTTCACCTTCTATCAGGGTGTGTTAAAACATGTTGAGTCTCTACAGAACAAATGTCTGTCAGATGATCACTGGATTGATTCTGATATATTTACAGAATCCTCTTACTGTGCAACAGCTTTCGGTTGCTATCGCTTTTATAGCCACGCCTGATGGTGAATTCAATAAACAGAACGGTGAAACTGATCTTGGCTTTAACTCAGCAGCTTTCAGCTGGTTTGTAACATTTATAATTTTGTCGGTAAAAAGAAGGGAGAAAGTAAATTTTGGGTGGATGAAACTGTCCTGCTGGAGCCTCCCTCACCCTCATCTCACTCTCACCAGGCTGCCTGAAGTTCAACAAGAGGACACAGTTTGTGTATCAAAGTGATAAGCTGACTCAGCTGAAGGGCCGTCTGATTGGGGGATTTCCTGCGAACCAAAGGCCACCGAAATTTATATTGAAGATTGTTATCAACCCTGTAATGATGAGCACAGTAGCACAATAGTGGCATGAGAATTGTTGGAGACCAAACAATCTCTGAGGAATGCTTCCAGCACGTTGTTGAATGTATCTGTACATGTGATAGAGATTTTAGTTTAGAATCCCCCGTTTTGGTCTCTCTATGAATATGAACGTTACAAGAAGAAGAAGTAGTACTAATATACTGCAGGGGTCTGCAAATAAGCATCAGAGCAATATTTTCAACTATTAGATGTGGATGAGAATATAAGCTGTAATATTGACTCACGTAAACATATTGTGTGGTTACATCAGTCGATAAGGTGCAGGACTCGCAACCTAAGGTTTGAAGGTTTGATCCAAGTGGCAACCTTCCGGTTTCCTGAGTGAAGCCAGACCAGAAATGCCTAAAACTGCAATTCATTGAGTGGCCACTTGAGGCTGGCTGCAGAAGGGAGTCAATCTCCATTGACCCCCATGTTAAAAAGCCCAACTTTACAGCAGAAAAAAACATGTTTACAGCCTGGTTCAAAAAACAGATACCGGATGAATAAAGTCATGTGCGATTTATTGGAGAAAAAGAGAACCCTCACGAGCCTGTGCTCCAGTTGGTGAGTGAAATTCTAGTATTTTCTTTAAGTGTCACAATAATTAGCAGGTATGGGTACATAATGTTAGCTAGTTAGCTTAGCTAACATTATCTAAATAGCTAATTAGCCAGCTTTAAGCTTTGGTAACGATGTTAAAATAACACAACAACCAGGCACCGTAGTTCCACCCGCGACCTGCGTCTTTTGGTTTTTCAGGAGTGACGTGCGGTGACGCACTGCCAAGATGGCGCCAGCGAGCTCTGGCAAAAATAAGCTTCAAAATGGCTCTTCAGAAACCAACGGGTGATGTCACGGATACAACATCCATTGTTTTCTACGGTCTGTGGTTTGATCCCACCTTTTTCTTTCTCTGTTCAACAAATGGATTCTGAAGCGAATGTTTCTGAGATCACAGTATGTGCGGCACTGTTTTGTTTCGGTGTTTGATCCTCATCCATCAACCTACGGAGGCTTCATTTCCTCAGGTAACTTCAGGAGTAACTTTGTGATGTCGGGAATATCTTCCTGATTAACCCAAACTACGAAAGGTGGATAGTTTTACCCGGGGTCTGTTGCTATGGCAATTTACGCCGAATCTCTAAACTGCTCCGAGCAAGTTTAACTCGAGGTTACCCTGCACGTGGACTACACCACATCCATACTCAGCGTTACTGAGGAGAAGTATTAATACACACCACATCCATACTCAGCGTTACTGAGGAGAAGTATTAATACACACCACATCCATACTCAGCGTTACTGAGGAGAAGTATTAATACACACCACATCCATACTCAGCGTTACTGAGGAGAAGTATTAATACACACCACATCCATACTCAGCGTTACTGAGGAGAAGTATTAATACACACCACATCCATACTCAGTGTTACTGAGGAGAAGTATTAATACACACCACATCCATACTCAGCGTTACTGAGGAGAAGTATTAATACACACCACATCCATACTCAGCGTTACTGAGGAGAAGTATTAATACACACCACATCCATACTCAGCGTTACTGAGGAGAAGTATTAATACACACCACATCCATACTCAGCGTTACTGAGGAGAAGTATTAATACACACCACATCCATACTCAGTGTTACTGAGGACAAGTATTAATACACAACACATCTGTACTCAGGGTTACTGAGGAGAAGTATTAATACACACCACATCCGTACTCAGCGTTACTGAGGAGAAGTATTAATACACACCACATCCGTACTCAGCGTTACTGAGGAGAAGTATTAATACACACCACATCCATACTCAGCGTTACTGAGGAGAAGTATTAATACACACCACATCCGTACTCAGCGTTACTGAGGAGAAGTATTAATACACACCACATCCGTACTCAGCGTTACTGAGGAGAAGTATTAATACACACCACATCCATACTCAGCGTTACCGAGGAGAAGTATTAATACACACCATCCGTACTCAGCGTTACCGAGGAGAAGTATTAATACACACCATCCGTACTCAGCGTTACTGAGGAGAAGTATTAATACACACCATCTGTACTTTGCGTTACCGAGGAGAAGTATTAATACACACCATCTGTACTCAGGGTTACTGAGGAGAAGTATTAATACACACCATCCGTACTCAGCGTTACTGAGAAGAAGTATTAATACACAAAATCTGTACTTTGCGTTACCGAGGAGAAGTATTAATACACACCATCTGTACTCAGCGTTACCGAGGAGAAGTATTAATACACACCATCTGTACTCAGCGTTACTGAGAAGAAGTATTAATACACACCATCTGTACTCAGCGTTACCGAGGAGAAGTATTAATACACACCATCTGTACTCAGCGTTACTGAGGAGAAGTATTAATACACATATCTTTACTCAGCGTTACTGAGGAGAAGTATTAATACACACAACATCAGTACTTAGAGCTAACTGCATCCTCTTACATGGAGCTCACCATGTTGCTGAAAACTGACCAACTGCTCCACAGAATCAGTACCCAAAACATGGAGAAATTAAATATGAAAGACTAACTATTACCTGCACAATTCATATCAAAGTGTAAAACAAGCACTGTAGCTGTATGAAAACACAGTTTAGAGAGCAGAGCTAGCTACTGCTGTGCTGCCAGCTAACAGAGCACATGTTCTACCAAAGATAAAAACGTTTCTAACATGACATTCCTTCCAGATGCAAGTGATTGAAAATGATTTACACATTACTTACAGGCACGTCGTCTCCAAGGCAGAAGCCTATCAGAAATACATTCAGCCACATGAATCCAGCACTGTTTTCTGTCTGAGTTCAGCTGAAGAGTGTAGTTCACTGAATTATTAACTGACGAGCACACAGCATGAACTCCTGCAATTTAACTCAATGTGTTTAATGTTTTAACTTTTTAACTTACTGAACTAATAACTTATTTAAAGCATGAACTTAACTTTAAAGACAGCTCACTCCGCGCTCGATGTGAAAACATTATATCACTACAGGTCCCACCAAACTTGAAGGAGAACGTCCTTTGACAGCAACATAAGAGTTCTTTCACTACGTCTCTGAAAGAAGGACTACAGTTTGTGAGACGGGCCGTAGAAACACCTCTGCTGTGCCGTCCTTCACAGTCCAGACCTCTACCTTGAGCCTGTTGTCACTGCTTGGCAAAACCTTGATAACCGGTCCCATTGTCCATTTCTTTCTTTCAACAAGCCAACATCTCCTTCTCTGACATTCAGCTGGTCTTTTGTCCACTTCAGGCGGCTCTGCAGAGTAGACAGATGTTGTCCTTTCCATCTCTTCCAAAAGGTGTCAGCAAGACACTGGACTTGCTTCCACTGCTTTGCGTACAACTGAGCAATAATAAGGTTTCCAGAGGGAGCTACAATAGCACTCGTCTTCTGAGTAAGGAGCGTCGCTGGGGCGAGAACCGCAGGCATTTCTGGGTCGGTGGATACAGACACAAGGGGTTTATGAACGCCATCACCTCCGTGCCATGAAAGTGCTCAGGACGAGTCGGTTTGTCTGAAGCAGCATTTCATCTAGAATGCGCCTGGCAACTCCGATAAGTCTCTCCCAGGAGCCGCCCATGTGGGAAGCATGAGGGGGATTAAAAACCCAGGAGCATCCTTATCCCAGAACAAAGGTACATAGGTAAGGTACTTCCTTACTGTTGTGTCATCTGTGTTCATATCCAACTCCTTACAAGCTCCCACAAAGTTAGTCCCTCTGTCAGACCGCAGCTGGACCACAATCCAGAAAAACCTCCTTAGAGCACTGATATAACTGTCGACGTTGTTTCAGTCAGCTCAATATGCACAGATCTGGTTTACATGCATGCATACGCGTAGGAGCCATTATACATGGACACATCTGAAAATCTATGTTTTGTCCCCCTCACTTTTTCTCGTGATCCCTGTGATTTGGGAGTTGGCTCATGGCCGGTGTGGTTTACCACGAGTGACTAGTCAATCAGTCACACACTCCACATCATACTCAAATAAACGGTTGAAACGCAGACAGAAATCATGTAGCTTATAGAAAACATGCAACACAAAGGTGGTGCTGAAAAGTTAAGAGAGAAAAAGAGTTTGCTTGAGGCAGATGCAGCAAAGTGCCTCAATATTACAGATGTTTCTTCATGCTGCTGTTCATCACAGCCTACCTGAAGACAGCAGTGAGGACTCCTGCAGCAGGGTGCGTAGTAACTTGTTACAAGTAACGCAAATTTGCAAAATGAATAAATAAAGTCATTGGCACCTTTTCACGTTCCTTTTTTAAAACTGTAGCCTACTTTTACTCTTGTTATGATTAGGCCTT